GCGAGAGCGAACGGATGGACAATCGCTGAAAAGGCTACCGCTTTGACTGTCGCACTGCGAGGAGATGCGACTGATATCCTGCAGACATTGTCACCATCGGAACAGGGAGATTATCAGCAATTGGTACGACATTTAGAAATGTCAACATTCTATCATTCCCAGCTAAAAAATCGCATTCAAAAGTCAAATGAGTCTCTGCAGGAGTTTGAAGCCGACGTAGCCCGCCTCGTTCGCCTTGCGTACCCTGCTATGCCCGAAAATGTTATGGAGCGCTTAACAGTACAGGCTTTTATTGATGGTTTACGTGACAACGAGACAAGGCAAACACTTCTTTTAGCTCATCCAACGCATTTGGGAGATGCCCTAGCACGTGCCCTGGAATTTGAGGCCGCGAAAGAATGCTCTAGGTCTCTAGGATTTGTACGGGCTGTTGAGGAGAGTTCCGACGATTCCAAAGTGGAAAGGATTGTGCGGAAAGTACTGGATCAGTATATGAGCAAGAAGGGGGGACCGATTCGCTGTTGGAATTGCGGACAGATGGGAAATCGTTACAAAGAAGAGAAAGAAGTGAAAGTCTTAAGGACGACTGTGGTTGGTGATAGTTGGCAAACCGAAGATCTTGCAAATGACCAAATCAGTGATCCAGAGTTGGGCTTGGTGATTAACTGGAAAAACGCGGACCAGAGACCAACGTGGGAGGAAGTTTGCAGATATTCGCCGAATGTGAAGTCGTACTGGTCCCAGTGGAATTCATTGGTAATAGATAACGGATTACTTCGCCGTGTGATTGAGAGACCAGAGGGACAAGAAGAGAGAAGGCAGATCGTCCTTCCAAAGAAGAGGGTCCCGGAAGTCTTGGAGGAAGTTCACAATGGAACCAACGGAGGACATCTTGGTGTTACCAAGACACTTGGCAAGCTGCGTGAACGGTTCTACTGGGTGAACTGCAAAGAAGATGTGAGGGCCTGGTGTAAGAAATGTGACATTTGCGCAGCCATTAATGGGCCACAAAAGCGTGGTAAAGCCCCTATGCGCCAGTACAATGTTGGTAGTCCCTTCGAACGAATAGCGATCGACGTGGCTGGTCCTTTCCCGGAGACGAACGATGGCAACAAATACATTGTGGTAGTAATGGATTACTTCAGCAAATGGGTCGAGGCCTACGCGTTGCCAAATCAAGAAGCGTCCACGATTGCTGATGCCCTTGTTAAAGAATGGATCTGCAGGTTTGGTGTTCCCATGGAGCTTCATTCAGATCAGGGAAGAAACTTTGAGTCCAATCTGTTCCAAGGCGTCTGTGAAGTCCTGAACATCCGCAAGACCAGGACGACTGCTCTACATCCACAATCCGATGGGATGGTTGAACGCATGAACAGAACTATCAACCGTTATCTGGCCAAAGTAGTCTCTGACCACCAAAGAGACTGGGACAAATTTCTTCACCTGTTCCTGTTGGCCTACCGTTCATCCGTCCAAGAATCTACAGGGCAAACTCCAGCCAGCATCGTTATGGGACGGGAAGTGCGCCTACCCTGTGATCTGAAATTTGGTTGCCGACCGGGAGAAGAAGTCGCCGGAGAAGATTATGTCCACACACTACGTCAAAGGATGGACGACATTCATCAGAGAGTCCGCCTAAATATTCAAAGTGCTAGTGACCGAATGAAGGAACACTACGACATTCAAGCTGAGCATGGAGGATACCAACCAGGGAAGTTGGTGTGGCTATATAACCCGCAGAGACGTCGTGGGTTATCTCCGAAGCTACAATCCTCGTGGGAAGGGCCATACGAAGTCATGGATAGAATTAATGACGTCGTATACCGTATCAGAAAATTGCCAAAAGGAAAACCGAGGGTAGTCCATTTCAACCGTTTGAGCCCCTACCAAGGCGAAATAGAAGATCGTGCTGGGACCGTGAGAACCTGCAGCTTTGATCCCCCTGATTCGGAGATGTCCTTTGACGATTTCATGGCCCGATACAACAGCAGTGAGAAGGCTCGCTATGGTGTAACCAAAGAAGATCAACGAGACCTCTTTTCCGTGCCTCCTGATTATTCGCTCGCTCATTGTGTGGCTCGAGATTTGCGGATGTCCAGAGGAATCGCTGCGACGTTCAATGAGAAGTTTGGGCGTGTCGGAGAACTACGCCGACAGGATCCAGAGGTTGGAAGCGTCTTGAGGCTAACCGACAATGCACATGGTCAAGCAAGGCACATCTTCTACCTGGTCACCAAGGAATGGTCCCCGAGTAAGCCGACTTATCTCAATCTATGGAAGACCCTGATTGAACTGAGAGAAGCCCTGCTAAACAACAACATTGCACGATTAGCCATTCCGAAGCTGGCGTGTGGACTCGATGGTTTGAGTTGGCGTACAATCCGGAACATGATTGAAGTCTTGTTCAGATTTACGGGAATCGAGATCCTCGTTTGCTGCTACAACCCAAAGCTGAGATCGGGAGAGAAAACTGTAGACTGCTATTTCTACCAGACTTCGCAATGTACCAGGGGCCAGCTTTGCAAATACCTTCATTCACCGTATAATCTCGGGACGAGCATGTACCTAAGAAGGGGGGCAGTGTTGCGAGCCGGTGTGGACTCGACCTAACCTCACAATATGGCCCGCCCTCGGATGACCTTAACATCGCATAGACACCGCAATGATTCATTCGTTCGAGAAGAATCGAGACCCACTAGAATGGACTAGTACATACGGGAACATTCGAAAACCTTCTCTATGCGCCTAACGATCTATGGACTATTCTAGACTTCTTTTGCTGTAGGTATAAAAGCCGGCGGCAGTGGCCTAGAGAGGGCAGTTATAAATATACAGTTGACGCGCTAAAATTCAAAATAAATTCTTAGTTATAAATCGTTTGTAAATAGTTCTATAAGTCTTTTATCGTTATTGTTTTTGTTAATTAGTGTTAAATAAATAGTGTTTAAATAAATTTTGACTTTCTATCCACACGGAACCGACGAAAAACGTAACACTATGGATATATTTGCGCAAGAATGAGGTTCCTTATTCTTCCGTATAATCTAGACAAGAATTAAAAATACTTGGCAGTTATGAGAGGGTATCTTTTACCCCCACTGAGTTAACGAATTCCGCGAGAAATTTTCAAAAACCTGCCCCGTCTGTCCATTACAGAAGACGGTCGATATGTCGAACACCTGTAGCAAAATCTCATGTCTTGGTTTGCTATTTATTTTTATTGTTATTATATATAGTTTAAATGTGTTGATGTTAGTTAAATATATTTTAAATTGTTATAAAATTCTGCATCTCTCATAACAAATATTATTTTTCGTTTTTAATTGATGCTCACCGCTAGAATTTTTGCATTACAGCCGGTGCAGCTCAAAGCAAAGTCTTAATAAAAGCGATTTATTTTAATTTCTATCTTCGAAGAGTACTTTTAGCAAAGGAAATATCAAGTGTGTTATATTTTTGGAAAGGTAATTTTAAATTCTTTTCAATAAATTAAAAATATACAGGGTGTCCCATATAAAAAATCAAATTTTTTGTTGATAATTCTTAAATTACTTATTTTAAAAAAATTATACTTAAACCATTAAATTCTACTTAAAAAAGTGCTTTGGAAATGTTTTCATAAAAATACAAAATTTTCCATAGCAAAAATACAGGTTGCTTTAATAAACATGTGCCATCTCGTAGGGAGATTCCTCACGTAAAAATAAGATTTATTTTTCATATCAACATAGGTCCGATTCTGCTTTGTTTAATAGCTTCAGGGTGTTAAAGTCTTAATAATCTTTCGATTTATTTTAATTTTCTTCTAAGTACTTTTAGTGACTCAAATGAAATTTTGAGGGAAAAAGTTACTATAAGTGCTACATGTTTTAATAGAAAAAAGTATCGATAAATTCATCAGGGACGTGCACAGGGGTTATCACTGGAATATTTTTCAAAAAAAACATGTGCGCCACTGATTTTTTTCTTTTGATATCAAAATTGTGTATGCGGTTTAATGCCAATTAAAAGTTATCTCTTGATATTTTGTTGAATTCGGCCTCCTGGATGAGATAAACGCAATTTTATTAATCACAATTAATAGAAATAAAATTAATAAATTATATATATCACCTGATATGGTCCAACCTAAAGCAATTTCAAATAAAAAATAATGGCATTTGAGATAATTACAAAAAAACTAATTTTAAAAAGTTTTAACATCCTGTAACTCTAAAACTATGCATTTCCATACCCATGTTTATAGGAACTTTTTTTCATATTTTTTGATGAGAAATTAATGAGTACTTATTTAAAACTTTCGCAAGTTAATGATATTATTTTTTTTAAAGATTCCTAGACTTGGAACAAGGCAAATTAGTAAAATTCAGTTTATTTCATCAATGAGGCCGAAATCGACAAAATATCAAGAGACAACTTTTAATCGGTATTAAACTGCTTACACTATTTAGCTAACAAGCGAAAAAAAAGTCAGTGGCGTACATACCTTTTTAGAAAAATATTCCAGTGATAACCCATATTGCACGTACCTGGTGAATATGTCGACACTTTTTTAGCTTTAAAATATGTCGCATACCTTTTACCCGCAAAATTTCATTCGAAAAGTTAAAAGTACTTAAGAGAAAATTATAATAAATCAAAAAAATATTAAAACTTTAACACCCTGTAGCTACGAAACAAAGCAGAATCGGACCTATGTTGATATGAAAAATAAATCTTATTTTTAGGCGAGGAACCTTCCCACTAGAGATGGTACATGTTTTTTGAAACACCTTGTATAACTTTATATCAATTTTACCAGAGAGAAATTTATTTTTGAAAAAAATCTAATCTTGAAAATGAGAACTTGAAACTTGAGAATCTAGACTTGAGATGAATCCAATCTTATTTAAATTTTCAAATTATTTTATATTTCCCAATTATTTCTTTTCCGCTAGTAATAAAATCTGAATATTATTAAGGATATCACTCTAGTTAATATGTACTTTTTATTATTTCAGGTACCCTTACATCGACATGGAAGGTCTGTTATATTACTGGTCTTTAGAAATTATTGTTTCTATACTATTGGGACCCCAAAATTATATCGCAGCTAAACAAAAACTAACCGATAGGATAGATTATTTGTCTTCGACATTGCGTTTGGTTTTCGAAACTAGTTCAAAATTAATGCTTATATCCACTAAACTTGCTGCTAAATATAGAATCTCGAGGTAAGTAGGGACGCCTTTAATAAAGTAAAACATTTGCAGTAAAATATAACTAAACTAGCGTGTACCAGCGACTTCGTTCGCGTCGAATTAATCATTTGTAATGGTGATGATAAAGCAAAGCAAGAATTTCCATTTACATACAAACTGGATAAAATTTTCTCACATTTATGTCAGCATGAGAAAAACAATATGGTGATATTATATAACTTGGTAATATTTGAGGGGTAGTTTCATCTCGTTGGAATTAGACTTTCGAAAAAATCCGTTTGCCAAAAATAAGCTTTTTACGTCAAGCAGTTTAAGCAGTATCGTGGTTAAGAAATTACCCAACTTTTTGGAACACCCAGTATGATTTTTTAAAAAATTTCAAAATATGTAAAAAAACCAAATAAATTATGCTTGTCCAAGCGTTTTCCCGAAAGACTAACCTTTTTTTAAATAACAAATATTGTAATATTTGAGGGGCGTTTTCACCCTCTTGGAATTTGAGATTCGAGAAACCCCTCCTTATCGAACCTCTACACCCCACAGTCAATCCGTTTGCCAAAAATCAGCTTTAAACGTCGAGCAGTTTAAGCAGAATCGTGATTACTCAATGATCATATTTTATGAAACACCCTGAATAAATTTATAAAAAATCTTAAAATATGTAAAACAACAAAATAAAATATACGTGTTTAAGAGTTTTTCCGAAAAACTCACCGGTTTTTAAATAAAAAATAGTTTAATATTTGAGGGATAGTTTCACCCCCTTAGAATTCGAGTTTCGAAAAATCCCTTTCTATCGAACCTCTGCACACTAAAGTCAATCTGTTTTCCAAAAATCAGCTTTTTACGTCAAGCGCTTTAAGCAGGATCGTGATTAATCAATGACCAGATTTTTCGAAACCCCCTGTATACATTTTTAAAAAATCTTAAAATATGTAAAAAAACAAAATAAAATATACGTGTTTAAGCGTTTTTTCGAAACTTGACCGTTTTTTAAATAAAAAATATTGTAATATTTGAGGGGTGGTTTCACCCTCTTGGAACTGGAATTTCGAAAAATTCCTTCTTATCAAACCTCTACACTCTAGAGTCAACCTGTATGCCAAAATTGAGCTTCTTACGTTGAGTGGTTTGAGCAGGATCGTGATTAATCAGTATGTCAGTCACTTAAGGATTTTATATATTAATATAGATAAAGAAAATACGGTGTTTCGAAAAACATGTGCCATCTCTCTTGGGGAGATTCCCCACGTAAAAATAAGATTTATTTTTCATATCAACATAGGTCCGGTTTTGTTTCGTTTCGTAGCTACAGGGTGTTACAGTCTTAATATTTTTTCGATTTATTATACTTTTCTTCCAAGTACTTTTCCCGTTTCGAATGAAATTTTGAGGGTAAAAGTAACTATAAATGCGACAGATATTAAAGCTAAAAAAGTATCGAAATATTCACCAGGGACCTGCATATGGGTTATCACTGGAATATTTTTCTAAAGAAAGCACGTACGCCACTGTTTTTTTCCTCTTATAGTAGTTCTCTTTTTGCTCTCGAAATAGTGTAAGCATGATAATGCCGATTAAAAGTTGTCTCTTGATATTTTGTCGATTTCGGCCTCCTTGATGAGATAAAGGCAATTTTATTAATTTGAATTGATCCAGTCTTTAAGAAAATTAATATCATTAAGTTGCGAAAGTTTTAAATAAGTACTCATTGATTCCTCATCAAAAATATGAAAAAAAGTTCCTATAAACATGGGTATGGAAATGCCATTATTTTTTTTATTGAAATTGCTGTAGGTTGGAATAATAATAATTATAACTAATAGTAATAATATTTAATAATAAATTAGCAAAATAAATAATTTATTAATTTTATTTTTATTTTAATTTTATTAATTGTGATTAATAAAATTGCGTTTATCTCATCAAGGAGGCCGAATTCGTCAAAATATCAGGAGACTTTTAATTGGCATTAAATGGCCTATACAATTTTGAGATCAAAAGAAAAAAGTCAGTGGCGCACATGTTTTTTTTTTGAAAAATACTCCAGTGCTAACCCATATGCACGTCCCTGGTGAATTTATCGACACTTTTTTAGCATTAAAATATGTAGCACTTATAGTAACTTTTATCCTCAAAATTTCATTCGAATCACTAAAAGAACTTCGAGGAAATTCATAATAAATCAAAAGATTATTAAGACTTTAACACCCTGTAACTACGAAACAAAGCAGAATTGGACCTATGGTGATATAAAAAAATGTTATTTTTACATGAGGAATCTCCCCACGAGAGATAGCACATGTTTTTTGAAACACCCTGTATCTGTTTATCAGCGTGTGGTGTGGTTTGGTTTGTTTTGTCTTCTATGCGGTATTGCCGGATTTTGCATCAAAATTTCAAAACCACAAGTAGGTGCTTACGAAAAATATTGCATCTAGGGTTATATATTATACATATATACATACATATATGTATTGCATATAGGGTTGGATAGAAAATTTTTTCTAATTAGTTATTCATTTTACTACAGCTGTAATAGATTCTTAAATAACTGTTTAACAGAAATTAGTATTATTGAATAGCTTAGATAGGTATATTATCTCCGTTTATTATCTTACTTCTCGTAAGAACCGGCAACATTGTATACCTCTTTTTATTTTTTTGTCTCTCTGTCTGTCAACTGGTCGTATATATTTATCTCTGTCGTATGCGTTAAAGAACAGACCATGGAAATAAAGTGACCAGGGCTAGTATAAGCGAATCTATTATGTTAATAAAATCGTGACTTGATTAAAGTAAACTCATTACTTTACACTTCTAAACACGAAATATGCATAAGTATTATTAACGAAATTATATATCTATTTATAACTTTTATTTTCTTGTTTTTATTTCGACACACAAAATTAATTTTAACAAAGTATTAATTACATAGGAAAAGGAATTTCACGATTTCGCATCTATTTTGTTTTAAATATCGTGTTTTAATTATTTCGCTCATTTTATTCAGTGTTTTATTTATTTCATTGCAAACTAAAAAAGGATAATAAACGAAAATTAATTAATTAAAATTAAATTAAACAAATTTGAGATATTATTGACTACAGGGTTTATTTTAAAATTTTTAGTATTATTTTCTACCTATAAGTTATTCTATTCTATAGTAGGATAGTGAGACATATATCCTTAAATATGTATAGGGTGATTCAGGGCGACGGTATGTTAGACGTTTATGGAGAACCGGTAATTTTTTTTTGAAAATTTGGGTTTTTACATAAAGACACCAGCTCCACTTTGGAAACCACTTTCATATCTTATAATTTTTCTATTATACTAACCTATTTTCTAATAGTTATTAAGATAAAAAATAAAACATTTGTAAAATTTACAAAAAAAATGTTAGTGAATAGCATTGGTAAAATCATGAATTCAACATTTTGAAGTTGAAATTTGAGAAATATGTTTTCATTAATATTGACTTTGGTTTGGTTTGGTTTAAATTTTATTATTCCTTTACACGTTATTTCGACACAAAAAAAATATTTTAGCAGTATTCATTATAGTAAAAGAGCAAAAGTAATTTCTAGATTACGTCTTTAATTTGTTTGAAGTATGGTGTCTTATTTATATCATTAGAAATATTAATGAATATATTTCAAACTAAAAAAGTCTGATTGAATTTAAAAGATTAAGCAAAATTGCATGATATAATAGTTGAAAATATCCGTATCTTTCGATATTGAAATAGAAAAATAAATATTACCTAAAAATAAAAAAAGGTCGCCAACTCTCTGTATACCGGGTGCGTCCTCAAAAGTGGCTCACCCCTATAGCTTTTTTTATTTTTTAATTAAAAAACGATATTTGGTATGTTAGTATATGACATACATTAGGATCGATTGACGTATTCAATTGTTTTTGGTCACTTTCTCTTTCACCGGAAATGACTTCAACTTTTGATTTTTAAATGGCACCCTCGGTATTTTATTACTTTATTCGATAAAAAATAACATTCTGAATAGAATGACATATCATATGTCAACTTTTGACATTTTCGCATGTGGTTTATTTGAAATTAAAACTTCCGGTTCCTAACGAAAATTTGACTCGAAATAAGTGTGTGGTATCAAATTATTCATAAAAAAATACTTTTTCGAAATATGCTAATGAGCCACCCTCGTTCCATTTGAAAAAATTGAGATATGATTAAAAATACAATTTGAGCATTTTCTAACTGGCCAGGACAAGACACTAAAAACATTAGACGATCAAATCTATTTTTCCAAGGCTCCTTGATTAAGAATATGTGTTTTTATTGTAGCCATGGCACTCTAGAATGAATTTTAAAACACGATTTTCTATTAAGCGAGAATGTCGTTGAAAAGTTGATATATGATATATCATTCTAGTCAGAATGTGATTTTCTATCGAATAAAGTAATAAATACCGAGGGTGCTATTTAAAAATCAGAAGTTATAGTCATTTTCGATAAAACAGGAAGTGACCAAAAACAATTGAATACGTCAATCAATCCTAATTTATGTCATATACTAACATACCAAATCTCGTTTTTCTATCTGAAAATATAAAAAAGTTATAGGGGTGAGCCCCTTTTGAGACGCACCCGGTATAGTATGGCACTCAGCGAAGATAATATCCGATAATTCCAAAGTATAATTTTAATACATTAAACATATTTTGACGCGAGTTTCCTAAATAAATTTTTGAATGATTTTTCATAATTTTTGTGTATACGATAAACATTTTAATGTTAGGGTATGAAATAAAAATATCCTAAATTGTTTTATAAAAATTCTCATCTATATATTTATTTCCTATTTTTTTCCTAAAAAAATCCTTTGTAATTCCTTTGATTCTAATGTATTGATAAACGGACATGCCCGCGGTGACGGCTATTCCGTATTGTATCTTAACTTCGAACTGAACTCCAATTAAACTACCTTAATGAGAACAGTTTATACTAAAGCACCTGAATTGTGTCCCGACTC